ACGCGAAACGACTCAGTCTGCATTTCCGAAGCTCCACGCTGGATGACGCGGTCCACGGAAAAGGTCCAGCCCGGAGGTTCCAGCTTCGATATTCCAGTCCACGACAACGCCACGGCAAGGCAAGGAGAGGGTGGTGGGAAAATGGAGTCAGTTACTTGAGTTTCTGGGGTAGGAGGGCGCGCCAAGGTTCTTCAGCGGTAGACGAGGAGCGGCCGTGCCTGTTGATATGTGAGTGATATGTAGAAAGATAAGTGTATAACACGTACTGAAAGTCGAAATCATCTTCCTCTTCGTCAACGTCCATTGCATCTGTCAGAACAGTTTGGGGATCAGGAGCGCCGTTGCCGCGCGCACACATAATTCGGTTCGCTGTATGTACATTTGCCGCCGGACTGGTGGGACGCGAGACCAGAGAATTGGCCGGAAGAGGAAAGGGTGCGCTCTGGGATGGAAGTGTTGACCCAGCTGTTGCAGCGGTTGCACTGCAGCTGCCAGCATCTGTTTACTCCGACTTCGGCTACAATGTGACTCGCGTTGTACAGCTTCAGGAGCCGCTGGGGTTGGGTAATATCAGCACGGTGTGATGCGGACTGCGGTTCCGTGAAATGTCTGACCAGGTGAATTGGTTTCAGGCAAGTACACGAAGGTGATTCGTCCTCTAGAGGGAAATTACTCTGTCGCGGAGAAACGTAGCTACTCGTACGCTACGGAAGGTTTATATAATTGTGGTGGTGGTGGTGAGATGGTACAATCCGTTTCCGTGAGGATTAGGATGTGAGCGCTAGGTTCCTCGAGGTTTTTAGTTCCTCGTTGGGGGCTAGCCTTCCAGGAAAGCCGTGGTTGGAGGTCGCTCTACACTTGCGCGAAGGAATAGAGCTTCGCAATGCGAGCGTCGATCCGAGCCGGGAGACCTGGGTGATATGGGGGTTTCTCTTTTCTCCCTGCCTCGATTACTCGGGCAAGCAGTGTCTTTAAAACGTGGGTTTTAACACAGCGAGCGGGCTATAGCTCTTTTCCTCCGTAGCCCGTTTTCTTCCTGTGCTTGTGTGAACGCGCAACGGATGAGGTTCCGTGACGAGTGTGGTGAAGTTGTGTATCGAATGAAATGGTGGAGTGGTTATAGTCTTCACGGATAAGCCTTCCGTGAAGATGGGGAGTGGTGCCCTGCGCACGGTATCTGCGTTTGAGCCTCCAATACAACAGTTGCACGCAGCTAAGTAGGGGCTGCTGCTGTTTAGAAGTACGCGCTTTTCATCGACGCGCCGTGACCAACGCCTTTGTATTCAACAATTTCCTCCCGACCCGTTTTACGGAGTCGAAGGGACCTTTAGAAAGGGTTCCTGGTGAACCTTCAATCCAAGTGACCTATTTAGCTAGCCCCACGGAAGACGGCGTAGCCTGAGCTATTATGTGTATATGAGAGAGACAACTCCGCCCCGTAAGGCTGGGGGGAGGGTAGCTTAGGTGTGAGCAGTGGGGATAACAAGATAAGATTCCTTGGTAAATACATCTGGCTTTTATACGTATTCCCGCCCGATTACCGCGCGTGAACTTCTCCGTGAAGCCTCCGTTGTATTGCCCTTCCTTGGATCCTCACATGCCCTCCGCGAAGTTCGACTCCCATGTTCTCCGTTAAGTTGACGGACGCGCCTCCTTTTAGGCTCGACGGAAACCTGCCCCCACAACCTTTACGTTTGCCCGATCCCGGTCGCTTCGCATGTCCCTGTAGCGATCCGTAAGTCGTCCGTGAATATGTCCGTGTGGCACTCCTTGATATTTGCTGATTGTTCGAAGGTATAGGCCTGGTGGCGTAACGGTAACGCGCGCATTTGCAGTCGACTCTCCACGATATTACAATTGCGAGTCCCTCGTTCATTCGAGGTCAAGCCGTGTTCGCTTTTTCCCACGCTCCGTAGGTGTATTTTTTCCGTCACGGAAAGAGCGTGCGCAAGGATTCGACCGTGAGTGATTCCGTGGGTTTGGCAGTATAGGCCCGGTGGCGTAACTGGTAATGCGCGCATTGTCGGTTCTTCGCAATATTGCACTATCTGCGAAGTCCCTCGTTCGATTCGAGGTCGGCCTTATTCGCTGTTTCCCGCTTTTTCCCACGCTCCAGTAGGTGTATTTTTCCGTCACGGAGAGAGCGTGCGCCAGTATTCGACCGTGAGTGATTCTGTGGGTGTCGATTGTTGTTTCATGACTATTTGCAGTATAGGCCCGTGGCGTAACTGGTAACGCGCGCATTTGTAGTACTTCTCTTCACAATATTGCGTAATTGCGAGTCCCTCGTTCGATTCGAGGTCGGGCCTTTGTTGGCAATTTGCTACCTTTTTCCGCGAGCGTTCCCCGTAGTTGCGTTGTGTTCCGTTGCAGTGTGTTACCTTTCCGTCCGCGCAGAGAGGCGTCCGCCAGGTCAGTTTTCAACCGTGGGAAAACCCTCCGTGACAGCCGTAGCATGCCGTGTGGTCTCTGAGCTTATTGTGATTTCTCCGTGAGTCGTTTCGTACTGTTTCCGCGCGCTTGAGCGTATCACAAAGTGATAGCTCACATCTCCTCCCCACTTTGAATGCCGACCGTCCCCGGTTGGCGCCCCATATAAATTCGCCCACTTTTTTTCCTCCTCATCTCCGCTAAGTCCTTTCCTTGTTTTCTAAGATGGACGCCTCTGCCATTGGCCGCTCCATTCCACCGTACAACCCCATTCCTCTTGAGAGCCTTGACGTCCCAGCTGGCGGTACTAGGCCACTTCCTCCGTCAGAATCTCAGATTCAAGGTCTTCCTCGTGTCCATGTCTGTGCTGGAGGATCGTTGGGGCACGCGTACGCGCAACTCTGTCACGGCCAAAGAGCTTCACGATCTCCGGGTGTGCGTCCGTCTTATCGTTGATCACATGGTGCGCGTTATGTTCCTTGGCAAGGCGATTTGCTGTGTCTGGTCGCTGACGGCTTCCTGTGTATAGTATTATGCGGCCAGGCTCCGGCAAAACGAGCTTCGTGCGAACTTCAGCCGTCATAATACACCCCCGCAGGCCACCTGGATGTTCTATCTCATAGCCGTCCTTTATACGCGGTTGGTTTTGACGGAGACGATGCTCCCGATATGCAGGGAGTCAGCGTGTTTGGGCTGGCGCTTTCGCAAGCGGAATTCTTTTTGAAGGAGTGTGCTGAAGCCATAGCGCTATACCGCCTCACCGACACTTCCCGTCTTCTTCGACTACCAGGAATACGATCCGCAACATACGGTGGAAATGGTCTTCGCTTCACGGCAACCGCCGCGGAATTATAAACGGATCGCCGTGAACGATAATCCGGTGCTTGACTTCTCCGTGAAACCATCCGGCTCGTACTGGACCGATGCACAACGCGTGGTGGAGGCTACGCTAATGGCACTTTCACGGATCGACGGAGCGTTGATAGTTGAAAATGGATAGCGATGGCTCCGTGGTTGGAATCCAGAAAGAAAGTGTGGAGGGGATATTGGCAGACATGGTAGAGTCTCCGCCGGCGAGGTCCCATACGGCTGACTGTTTGGAAGAAGGATCTGCAGACTCTATATCCGGGAGCCCTTGCCCTACTCTGTGCACGGATGAAGAAACCTGCGGACGCGAAGCCACGGAATGGATCGTGATGCTATCTTCATCGGAATTGAGGGCTATCCGTTCCGATTTACTTCTGTTTCCTGTATAAAAGAGCGTGTGTTCAATTCCATGTTTTCATAACTTCCCCTGGTAAAATCTTCATGGCGCTCCCCCCAAACTCGGTTGGATGGCAATTTCTACCCAATCACGGAGTCCTGCGAGCTCGTGATAAAGCATTGCCGTGTGGCGTCCGCGAGGTTCGAGCCAGGCAACCCAGACCGAGAACGTTTGGACGACGTTATGGAGTGCATTATTCGTCCTTCCGTGTATATCCTGGACTGTGCATTGCGTCCCGCCAATCGCGACTGGTTACCCCTCAGGAGCTGACGATGTCGGAATTAATTTATTTGCACGACGCGTTTTCGATGGTTATGGCTGCTTTGGTGACTAGCCCCTTATATTTATGATCGCGTTCCGCGTATTGAATTTCCGTGACCCTAGTTCCATTTGCTCGAGGAGGGCGGCCAGTCGTTCCTTAACGACGGTATTCGAACCAACGCAGGTGTTTACGCTCCATACGTCGCTTTCCGCGGAGGATGTCTCCGTGGCCTTGAAAGACTCGACGAAATGTTGCGACAATACCTCCCCGAGTCGTCTACCCGCGTTACTCCTTCCCCAATCCACCTTACTATGCATCGAGCCTTGATTCTAGGACGGGCTTGGCAAGGTTTCGAGGATATCGAAGATTTTCCCGCCTACTGCCGAGGGAACACGGATGATATTTTGATGGGCTTCCGCCAATCGCCGGAACATTGATAGAGGGGCCGATGTGAAAAGGAGTCTGGACGTCCGTGAAAATATCGCCTCCGTTCGTGGTCCGTGGGGTGCGTGTGGAAAGCTTAAATACGAGCCGCCTGTATTTCTTGTTTCACCACTTGTGCCCTCGAAAATAATGTCGCAGAATGCTAGCACCCCCTCCCCTCCTGCATCGCCGCGCGACGAGCTATTGCATTTAATTGGAAGTCCCGCTGGGCGCGCACTAGCTTCTAGAGTGGAAGTGGCTTGCGCGATGATACGGCCGTTGGAAATTAGCGACACGGAATATGCCAGGGCCTCGAGTTGGACGCCGCCCATTCCTATCTCAACAATTCTGCAGCAAGTACTGCGCCCTTCCAGTTTTCGTGCTTCAACAAGCCGTGGATCCGTCCTTCCATCGCACGGGTTACGGGTCGTTCCAGTTCCCGTATACGACCACCTGCATCATTCAATCCACGCTACGGAAGATGATGGAGCTCGTGGTATGTCGATCTCCGTGAAGCCGCGTATCTTCGTTAACCGGCCACCGCGCAGCATCTGATTTCCCTCACGGACCCAGATTATCCGTCGTATGTCGCGCTCTGGGATGGGATTTCCGCGGTTCACCTGATCCCGGACGAGCCTCCCGTTTCTGATCGAACAATGGGGCAACTCGAAATATTGGAGTACATGGTCGAGGTTTATGGCTTTAACGGAGAAAACTCGACGGAAGGCAGACAGATGCTCGCAGCGCTAGAGCATCTGAAGCGTGTTGCAACTTGCTGGGCGGGGCTACTGGGCACCCGTGGGGAATATCCAGAGTTCGAACACTCAGGTCGCATGATGCGTCGTCCTGGTACGACTGGTTGGGTAGTTCCGTCTTCCGCGTAATTCGCCGCGTGTCCAGCTTTCGTAGATATGCAAGCATGCACCCCTGTCTTTGCTGTGGAGTTTTTTGATCCGGGCCTGATTGTCCACGCGCTTCTCGCCAATCTTCCACATAAAGCGCGCACGTCCGTGGATAATATCCCCTCTTCCAACCTGTTCTTCATGGCTACCTCTGTTGGCGAACGGTTCGCCGCTCCCCGATGGCTCTCGGACGTCGACGACGAGTTTTCTTGCGTACGAAGACCAGTCTCCCGGCCAGCGCCTCCGTGAAAGTTGTAGTGAACTCATTATCCCATCCATGGATCGCACGGATGGTTTCTTTGAGCCCCGTTACTCGATGAAGGACTTGCTTCGGTTCTTTATCCGTGGCCAAATATTCTTTGTTCAATCCACGGTGGATCCGTTGTTTCACCTGTGCTCGCCCTTCCGTCATTTGGCCGCGGGCGATATGATCGAAGTCCGCGAGGCGCTGCGACGTATAATCGATCAACTCGTTCGTCGGCCATTCCTCCCGTTTTTATATATTTTTCTAAAGGCTGAGAAACCCCTCGTAGACTGCGATTCACGACTCGCGTCCGTCTTTTGCGCATATGCTCGTTGCGCAGGGCACCCGTATTCATACCGACGAACTCCTCGTACCCGGAGAGAGCTGTAATATGTTTCGCATCTTGCGCGTGCTCCTCGAAGAATACGGGTTCCGTGGAGACGAGGGTGTTAACGGAGAACCCGCGCGTAGCGCAGCGAGCGCATCCTCGACCGGTTCGAAACCACCGCCAAATTTCTACGGGCCAGCACTGCCCAGCTCGCGGAATTCCCAGAATATAATCACGACGGCTCCAGCACGTTCATGCCTGCCGTCAACCTTGATGGTTTCACGGACGTCGGCGCACGTAGTTCTTGATGTATGGCCCGCGGGGATCGTTTGTAGCAGTGCCGCCGTATAAATTGTCATGCTTCCGAGTTCTCCTTCCCCAGCTTCCTGCCTAATCAGCGCGTTATCGTTACTGCCATGGCTCTCGCTTTCGCTTTGCTGCGTAATTATCGTCGCAACGAACTCCCCACACGCCACTCGCGAACGCAGTTCGAAGTATTCTTTATTGATTTCGACACGGATGAAGAGTTGGTCCGTTATCTGCGTCGACCTGAAGTTTCCAAGTTCTCGTTGGAGACCCTGGCACCCCTCCGTGACCAGGTTATGCTCATTCGCGACCGTTTTCACGGCTCGGCTCCCTTGGCCCGTGATTCGTCGTGGATCCGTCGCCAGACGGCCGTGTACATGCGTTCCATCGTTAGTCGTTTTTATTTCCCTCTCGCCGTGAACACATTTTAACGGCAACCAGGGTTACGTTCGCCAGGCGATTTGCCCGGATTCCATGGATCTGTGGCCAAGCGGGTACCAACACCGTCCGTGGCCAGCCTGCTGTATATGATTCGAATCATACGCCGATTCGGATTTGAAGGCGATGAAATATCTGCCGTGGCGGAATACGGCGAGCATGATTTGATGGTGGTGTACAACCACGCGCACGATACCATTTTTGCGATGTCCATTCGTCTGGCGGACATTCCTCCTCGATACGCCACGCTCTCAGAAATTGAGAAGGCCGGGTCCGTTGGCCAACCTCCAATTTCGCCCTCGCTCAGCGTTCGGCACGTTGTAGCGAAAGACGAGGTCGGACCGGTTAACGAGCCGACGGAAGCCCCCGTGGAACTGGTGACCCATAATATCGACGAGACGTGACGGGACGCGTAGTAGGATATCTTTGTTCACGGAAATCCTCCCAAAAGGAGGCAGTAATTGATGGCTAGCGATTTTGGTTTTG